AATTTCTGAATTGAGAATTGATGAAAACAAGAGGTTAATTGAAGAACCAGAAGCAATTGTTGACCGAAAGACTAAGAAGCTTCGACGCAAGATGGTCGAATTAGTGCTTGTCCGTTGGAAACATTCGAATGGGCCAAATCTCACATGGGAAACGGAGAGTGACATGTTGAGTCGCTATCCGCATTGGTTTGTTGATGTGTGATTCCGGGGACGGAATCATCCTAAGGGGGAGAGAATTGTAACTCCCGCGTTTCCAGGCTAGGCATTACCGTTGATGTAATAGTTTAGGTTAACCCTTGTAACTCTTTTTGAAGTATTAATGATGAAATGTTTGAGGATTATGTGAATTATGTGTTTATTTTCTTAATTATTATAATTTAATGAATTAAGAATAAAATGAGCGTCAAAATTAAAGTGTGAGATAAGCCCGATATCTTTGCATAAAGATGTAGTGGTTGAAACAAGGATTCCGGCGATATAAAGAATGCCGAAATCCGAGTTATAACAAAGAAGTTATGACCTGTCGAAGTTTCGCGACAGAACCGGCAACGCTGAATGACGTAAAAAAAGTGAAATTTACGTTAGAGCGATATTTAGCCTTAGTGATCTAAACGAAAGTCGTAGAGTTCGTTAAACCGAGAGCGTGCATGAAAAGAACGCCCAAATCTGACTTCGTATGAGGAGGTTATGATTTTTCTAAGTTTCAGCTTAGCAGTATGCAGGCCGAAACTCGAATTCGAGATCGAGTGATTGTTGGTCGAAACAATCTAAACGAGAATCGAAGATCTCGTTATTAGTAGTGCAATGATGAAAAGACAGACGAAAACGGAAGTCAGACGAAGAAGTTATGATTTTATAACGGAGTTTTCCTGTCCCGACCTACTAAAAATAAATAATAAAAATAAAGTCAAAATTAGCCGACGGAGTCTAAACTAAAGTTGTAGAGCGTAGTTTCACCTACGCGTGGATATAAAGAACGTCGAAAACGGAGTTCGTATGAGGAAGATATGAATTTCGGAAGTTTTATAAATAATTAAAATATATATTTAATTAAGAATTCCGGATAATATCCGAAGGAGTCATTGATCCTATCCGAATTACACCCAGCGTAGAGCTGTACGCCCAGCGTACAGCGAAGCATGACCCGCCTCGCACTCGAGTGCTCCGAAGTACGTAAGCAGTGACGATCCGAAGCGTACGCGCCGCGTAGCTGAGCATTACGCCCAGCGTAATGCGAGGCTTCTGCCCCTATATAAAGGATGCGAGGGCAGCCGGCCATTTTGCTCCTTTTCTCTTCTCTCTCTCCCGTTTTGTCTCGTTTTTCGTGCCAGAATTATCCCAAAGCCCCGGTATCATTCCCGAGTCCCGAAGCAAGTCCTGAAGCCCCGAAGATCCCGAGAAGTGCAAATTCCCGAGCCGAAGCTCTGCCCGCGAGAAGCCCGGTTTTTGTGAAGATCTTCCAGATCTACCGAAGAATACTACTTCTACAAGTCGTAGTGTTGTCCGATCATCTTCTGATCAAGTGAGTGTGTAGTCACTTTCTTCTAACGCATAATTATGAAGTATTTTATACGAAATACGTGTTATGTGTATATTTTGTTGTTATATGTGTGAATGTATATTCACTTTTTTCTATCTCATAGGTATGATTTATTCTCTATGAAATACGTGTTATGTGTATGTGTCTCATCTGTTGCTTGGTATATGTATTGAATGAGAATGCTATACAGGTTTTAAACTATGTATAAAAATATATATTTTTATCTACTAATATGTTGGGTAGAACATGGGTAGATAGTTGATGTGTGATAAACAGATGAGAGGCCTTAATGTTGTTTTTGATTCAGTCATCTAGCGGAGTTTAGATGACGACCACGGACTTTTCTAGACAGTCATGTGGAACGCTAGCAGGCTCGCCACCTGTAGGTGTTAATGAACTTGGGTGTTCATTCGTTGTACTCCATCCCCCTCATGGTTGCCTTATTTGACATATATTGCTCGGAAACCCCCGAAGCATGTGTTGTCGCCCCAATGAAATATTCTTAGACTAGGTCCCTTATGTTAATTGTCTTAGGGACGTAAAGTGAGAATAACGGGATTGGGTAATTGGGTTATTGTTGGTTGGTGGAATTAAATATAATTATTTAATGTGGGTTGAAAACCCTATATGCTCACCAGGCTCCCAAGCCTGACCCACTCAGTTTTCTTTGTATTACAGGTAGTGGCGCCAAAGCATAAGTTGGATGACTTGTCAGGATATTTTGGATTATAGACCTGTTGTTGTAAATAACTGTTGTAAGGTCTGTATTGAAATGTTTATGCTTTTGGTCTGTTTATCGGAACATGACATCCCGAGTATTGTAATATAATGAAAAATACATTTCTTTAAGAAATGCTTTGGTAAATCTTATCTTTATCATATTTCGTTTTGGGAACAAATTCCGCAACTCTTTTAATCAAAGGATTACTCTGAAATAATTTTAAAAGCATAAATTAAACCGGTCTTTTCTGGCCGTGATTTTGGGGATGTCACAATCAACGGGTTACACATGAATAATTTTTCTTACTTTTGCTATTTCTAGAACAAAATGATATTTTTTTAGAACAAAAGAAAATGATATTGATTATGCTAAGAATTATCTGCAAACTTGTTAACATTTTTTTTACAAAGTAACTTTTTCTTTCGGTACATATCATTCTGGATTTCGGAGTGAAATAACTTTCTTCCTATTGTAGATTTAATCCGACTGATGGGGATTAAAAATCTATGAGTTAGGAAGACATCGATAAAATTTCAACTCAATTGGACCACGTTTACCCCTCGATCAAACCGTGTAATACTAGCCAAAAATGTCAAAATCCATTTATATTGCTTTTCTGCTTGATCAATAATGTTGTTACATAATTGTGGTGCAAAGATTTTCATGTGACTTATATGGTTGCTCGAAATATCATTGTCTGTTAACATTAAATTGCACAAATTTAACTTAAATAAGTAACACTGTTCAAAACTAACGATGTAATGAAATATATGAAATGCATGCTAAATAAACACAAAATGTCCTGAAAATTATTAAGAAAATATGATAAAATGATGTATAAAAGTGAACGCAACAACTTTGTAAGGTAATAAACATTATTTTTATACACATTTAGACATTTTTTATATGCAATTTACCATTAAACTTATACTTGTTATTCAATAAATATCATTTTGACAAGCTATAATAGGTCTTGTGAGTTTATCTGCTCAAGAAACATCATCAACCTCATTTTTTTCTGAAGAAATATCATTAAACTTACAATTACATACACAATTTACCATTAAGCTATGTTTTGTACATATTTAGTCATTTTCATATTTTTCGACCATCATCAATCTTTTGTTCATTTTTCTTCAACCATCAACATTTACTTGGTGATGGTGGCGGTTAATAGTGGAGATTGGTGACTATGGTGGCAAATGGTGTTGATGGAAGGTAATGTTTGTTGTTGGAGTTGGATGGTGGCGGCAGAAGGTAGATGGTGGTGTGAGTGGATGATGTTGGTCGGAGAAGCTAAATGGGGCATAATTTAATGGTAAACCGTGTAAAAATAAAATTTTAATGGTAAATCATGTATTAAAAAAAAAGCAACACCCTATCAAAATGGTAGGTTTTAAAAAGCTCGTGTAATTTTAATGTTAAATGGTGTATAAAAAAAATAACTACATGTATACAAAAGTGAGAGTTGATTATCTTACAAAGTCATTTTCTATTTTAGTTATAAAAAATATAATAAGGTTTTATTGTTGTTGAGATGGCATTAAAATGACCAATAAAAGATAGAAAAACTAAATAAATTAAAAAACGGTTTCTAAAATGCATATTCTTTAGTAAGATTTGCCGATGTATATTCAAAACATATAGATCATAACTAGGTTAAAACCCGTGTGATACACGGATTGCCAAATTAAAATAGCAAAACTAATACATAATAAGTGGTTTGCAATAAAAAAAAAGCAACAATATTTAAATCCAGATGCCGGAATGAATCGCAAAATGTTTCCGGGAGGAATGGAAATTTGAATATGAGGAAATTTGATTATGAAGGAATTGTAATCCGTCATTGGTAGGATATGGAACGAAATTCAATAATAAAATGTAAACAATTTTTTAATATAACTTAGTGATTGTAGTGTTTTTTCAAACTGTACAACTTAAACAACGCGAACTAAGTTATGGTGGGTTTTTGAGGGAAGGCTGTACTGAATCAACCAATCAATCGTCTTTCTCATGCAAAACAGTTAGCCTACCATTGAGAGCCGCATGATATACTCGTTTCTCTGCCAAACCAATATATGACATTATTAAATTGCCCTGCACAACCAACATAACAATAATAATAAATATTGTTATTATTATTATTATAAATTGAAAATGAAAATGAAAATGAAAGAATATACATATACCTCACGAGCCATTAATCTGCGAACATTTTCGGCATATAATTTAGGATTGTCCTTCTCTTCTTGTGAGGGGTAATAAACTGGCAAACGAGTTACCGACATCTTATTTACAAATTGACATAACAGCAAAATCACATGCCGAACCTGAAAAATGGAATCAACAAATAAATTGGAATTCAATTCCATTCCAATCCCAAACTCCCTTCATCAATAGATTTCAACATTTCATGCATTTTCTCATTGTTAAAACTAATCAAATACACCATTTTAACCCTAGAATTGCAAAAGCAAACTTCTTCTGCTTACAAGGGTATTTTGGTAATTTAATATATAAAAAAAGGTATATTGGAAGGATTCCGATGGAATTGAATTTTGTCCAATTGGCAAACAAGCAGGCCATGGAATGGAATCTTGAATTCAATCCCAAACCAAACACACACCCAATTCCAATTCCTTCCAAAACATTTTGCGGACCAAAACGCCCTTTTAGAAGACAGATCAACATTTAAGTTTAAACACTCACCCCAGATATGGAATCCCATGCAGGGCTAAATCATTCATAAGGATATTTCAAAATAACAGGAAGAACAAGAGCTTTTGCCAAAAATGCACCAGTTTTAAATGGAAGTATATAATCCCCATTTGTAGTTGTCCCGTCTGTATAAACAAAAACAAAGATAAATAAACTAAATTAGATACAGGTGCGTGGGATCAAAAATTAATAATTTGCAGCTAATATACGAATCAAAAAATCCTACACTCTTCAGATATACAGAAGAAATTATACACCTTTTACTTGATATAAATTTGAAAATGAGAAACAATAATGACATATATAAAATAATAACCTGGAAAAAGCATCATCATGGGTGCAGATTTATTTTCGTGGGCTTCCTGAATTCTTTCGTTCACCACAGCTGCAAGTAACAAAGTTAAAAAAAAATTAAACAGAAATTACATTTAAGAAAAAATGTAGAAAAAGAGAGCACATTATAAAGATGGTTTTGTTAGGGCGTTTTCAGGTATATTTAAATGTTTGATGTTTCTTTATCAACTGTGCTGACTGCTGTATATTTATTGGGATTTCATGATGCCCTATAATATTGTAACACATCCATATATATATATATATATATATATATATATATATATATATATATATATATATATATATATGTGGATGTGTTACAATATTATAGGGCATCATGAAATCCCAATAAATATACAGCAGTCAGCACAGTTGATAAAGAAACATCAAACATTTAAATATACCTGAAACACCCTTTGTATTCGATGATTTTGACTCCCGCTGAACATATACACAACCAAGACACTTGCTGAAAAAACAAAAAATTGTAATTATATAGCAATGGATAACATATTTATAAACTATACAAGAATAATACAAGAAGCTAGAAAACAACTTCAAAAGTGTCTTTCTGATCTATGAAAGTAGATTTGGCTGAATTTTATCTTCATTCACAAAAAATTTTTTGGATAAATGTTCTTAAAAGAAATTAGATTCTCAAATCTTTCCTTGCTTATCAATTTTTTTTAAAAAAAATTAAGGAGAATTGCAAACAAAAAATCAGCATTGAAGGGATATTTTTTAACAGATAAGAAATAAAAATTGGGATAAAGAACGAAACGAAACCATTTTTATTTAGAGCCTGTTTTTTCTTTTAATTTTTTTTCTTCCATTGAAGTGTTATATGGATGTGATTAAAACCAACCTTATAAGGCCAACCGGAGGAAGCTTGCCCACTGATTCCTAAACATCCAGTCCTAATTTTTTTTTCTTCCATTGTTGTTAAGTCGCTCGACAATTCTATCTCTACGATAATTGAGCTTGCCGGAATAATCCATTGAAGCTAGGGTTATTGCCGCATTAATGATTCCTAAACATCCAGTCCTAAAGTCGATAAAATCATCCATCTCACGCTATTGATTTGAAAAATTGAATTGATTGAAAGAAAACAGCGAGAAAAAGAATTAGGGTTTAAGAGAAAATCTACCTTTAAGAATTGGTGATTAAGATTCCTTATTTGTTGCTATGAAATTCCTGATATCTTGCTATCGAATTCGAAACTGATTGCCGATAATTTTGTATATCAATTCAAACGTCAATATATTATAGCTGAAGCAGAGGGCATTTGGGAAAATCACTTTGGTATTTTGAGCGGGAAAAATCGATTGGGGAGGGGCTTGGAGAATGACACGTGGCAAAAATCTATTTATTTATTAGATTAGGGGTTTTTTATTACTCATTATTATTGATGCATCAAATAGAAGTTCAATAAAGAATCTAGATATGTGATGTTCGAAGATACGCAAGTTTAATATGACAAATCTATATTTGGATAACTGCGTGTATAAACAATGTGTCATTATTAAATCCGTTTTCAACGTAATGCTCATAATCCTCAAGACAAATCAACGGAAAATGGGTTATTGTTTATGATCGGTTGCTTACCATGAACAGGGAAGAAAGCTGAAGATAACTACAGATAGCACAAATGCGTATAATATTTCTTAATGATTACTCACTCAAAACTCAAAAGTCACAACTTTATAAAACCAAAAACAGATCAAATACAACTCCTATTTATTTACTCTACGGATCCTCTAAGAACATCGCCTTTGCCATTTGGTGGTGATATAACACCAAGAATAACAAAACCACCCAACAAAACAATCAAAACCCCCAAAATATTCACCAACATTGCTTCTGCAGAATAGTGTGAAATTATGTTGTTGGTTTGAAGAAATGTAGCTTTTTCTAACAACCCAGTAGCACAAGCAGCAACAGCAAGCACATAAATATACACTCCAAAGAACACATGCCATGGCATCAAAGATGCCCTGCTGTTTCTTGAACCACCCGGATACCAGAATGTCACAAATCCAGCTCCCCACTAAACATTCAGTAATGGAATCAGTAACAGAAAAAAAAAAAAAAAAAAAAAGATGATAGAAAGAAAGAAAATTTTGAGAACCTGAATGGTGAATAGGAATAAGCAAGCCAACCCCAACCATGAATGCAGACTGTAAAAGTTGTCAATGCCTTTGTCATTGTGGAACTTCCAAGCAGCCCATAAACCAATTATGCCAAACAGGAATGCCATGAACTGGAGGGAGAGATGCACTAGCTTTTTGTAACCTTTTGTTCCTGTTACTGTTTTGTATGCCAGCATGGCTGCATCACATCCATCAAGAACTATGAATTAAAGCATGAAGAAGCAAAGACTTTGTGGGTAGATGATTGTGAGTATATGTGTGATCATTTCATTTGTCATCATAGCAAGTCATAATTAAATACAGTTAGTTACCTTCCCCATTCAGCAGAACAAGGCCAATCACCATCAGAACAGGATGAACCTGCAGTACAGTAATCACAGATTCTTCAGATCGTATTCAAAATTTTCTCTATCAGTGAAATGGAAGTGTCATTAGCAGGTGACTGAAGCCTGAAGTAAATCCAAATAGAAGTTCTACAATAGGTCTGGTAATTGCCAATTGTGCAGAATAAACAGTTAAACATAACCACATTAGATCATCAATTACAGATCTATTGAGCTTGAATCTGAAATTCGAATCATGCGTTTTAAGCAAGAGCTAGATCATTATGTTTATGGCATTGCTAAATAAAACCCTAAATCCTCTGCAAGCATAAAAGCTAAGAATCAATAAGGTTTTTCTTTCTACTTAAACAATATGACATTTGGATTTAGAGAATTACATTGAAGATGAGACTTTTGTCGTCTGATATGAGAGCCAGTCCTCCTCTATAGCGGATATTCCATATCAGAACCAAAGCAGCCACAATTACACCTAGAACCCGCACGCATAAGAATAGTGGGAATTTCACCTGCGGAACCGCCATCTTCCTGCTCCAATCGGCAATCAATCACACACACAGAGAGAAGCAAGCACGGAGTAGCAAGGGTTTACAATTTGGTAGGGTTCCGGCGAGGTTAAAAGTGTCGACACGGATTTAAGTAAGACAATCTGTGACGCCAGTACAGATTAATTTAGTAAACTTGACATCGATGACAATGGAAGCTAGGTTGGTTGGTATCAGATTTGGAAAGAACTTGAGACCTAAACCTTACAAGTTTGACTTTCATTTTAAAATTGAAGGGTACCCTATTCTGAAACGTTTACGAGTTATTTTCCGCAATATGTTTTGTTCGAGTCCCATTTTTGTGTCATATTATTTGATCGTGTTCTCGTTAATATGTCAAAAATAAAATTGATTGTTTTTAAATTGACAGGACACGGTGTCGAATGCATAGAAAATGTGTGATCAAATTTTATACATCAAGTTGTTTTAATTTTTAAAATGATTCATCAAAACCAAAACCAAAACATGATGTCTAATTTAGAAAAAAAAAGAAATTAAAAAGAATTTAAACGACTTTAACTATTGCAAACAAATTTAGAAATAAAAACAAACAAGATTAATAATGTGTATTAGAATCACTTACGCTTTAATAATTATGCAACTAAAATTATTTATTTAATTTTCCAATGAATGAACTCACACATACATAATTCCACTTTAATGATAAAACACAAACTTAAATTGTAGGTACATCATATGTCATTCTAATTATAGGCACAATTTGTTCTTATGTAGAAGGGAGAAATATTCTTGACTACGAACCTTTGATGATAAATTAGTTATTATTTAGATTAAAAAGCAAAGAAAAAAATGAGTGATTTACAAAATAGATTTTGATAAGGCATTTGGCTCTTTAAATTAGAGTTATTTGGACACGATTTTTGAACAAATGAAGTTTGGTTGGAATGGATATATTGGATAAAAGGGTTATCTTTCTTCCTATAGAGCTTCGGTTTTGGGGAATGAGTCGCTTACTAAGGAGTTTGACATTTTAAAAGGGTCGAGACAAGGTGACCCTTTTTCATATTTTCTTTTCATCGTCGCTATGGAGAGTCTTAACGTGTCTATGTTGGAAGATAGAGAGAAGTTTCATTATCACGACATTACTCTTTCGAACAATGATCTAACTTTTTCATGCCTTATCTATGCAGATGATATGTGGAACGTCCTAAATTTTTACCATAAAATTTTTCATTTTATTTCATTTAAATCAAAGTATAATTACATTATGCGGAAAAACATGATATCAATGTGCGTGTGTACAGTCGAGTCTTACCCTTCTCACGAATCGAAGAAGTACCTGAAAAATATTTATAATCAACTGGGTAAGCACGAAGCTTAGTGAGTTCCCTAAAATATCATCTATCACAATACATATACATGCATACATCGAGTATCTAGGTTCACAATTGCTTAAGTTGTTATTGTCATTATTTAGGCCCACAATCATTTAAGTTGTTATTGTCATCGCCTTACATTTTGAGTATCTAAGCTCACAATTGCTTAAGTTGCTATTGTCATTATCTAGGCTCACAATCGCTTAAGTTTCTATTTCCATTAGCTTATCCATTGGCCTTCGGCATAAAGTTGGTCCGTGTTAGGTGTGTCAGACCCAACAGATAATAGGGGTACAACAGACTCCAAATACACTACTTTAATGCACTAAAAAAGTAGTACAAGGCAAGCATGGTCGAACCACAGAGACACAAGATAAAAGTCTATACCTCTTTGTGCAAGGTACTTTGATCAAAAACTGAGGTTTTCTTGGCAAAAGTAAAATAATAAAATAACAGTCTACTTTAAAAACATACAGAAAATGAAATAAACTTGTAAACAATTTGATTGAATGGTTCTAGTTCTAGTTCTCAATGTCGTTGTTCAACTTGATTATGACTTGATGTAATTCATGATTGCTATTCTAAGTTGGTACTGAAAGATATTAACATGCTCTAATACATCTCGTTTGCCAAATTATCTAACCAAAACATGTTCTTTGACTAGACCTAGTTTTACTAATTCAACTTAAACATGCTCTTAGATCGTATTGAAAAACCCGCATTAAGTTTTGTACAAGCTTCCCAACAATGTTCATTTCTTCTCATACACTCGGAAGTGGGAAAACATGCGATATATGTTTTACAATAAGAAAATTTATTGTTTGTTACCAATTATTAACTTAATAGAATGATTAGGTGCCCTAAAAGTTAATTAACTACAAAAATTCAATTCATGAAAGTGGTCAATCAAACACAAATCAAATTCAAGGATTCCAGTTTAAACAAAAACATAATCACTAGAATAGAATCACAAATCAAACATCAAATCATATGCTTTAAGTCAAACAATCTACATTATTTGAACAAGAACTAGAAATTAAGGTTTCTTAGCCACACATGGCTAAGAACAAATCAATCAAAAAGAAAGATGGAATTGGAAATGTTTAATGCTTACAAAATGAAATCAAAAGTGTTTGCAATGATTTGGTCTTCTCAAAAGCTCCAAGAAATCTGCCCAAAATTGCCAAAGATCGCCCAGAGTTGCTCCAAAAAACGTCTGAAACATCCCCAAAATACGGTCCAAAAATTATGTTTTTAAATCATTATTAAAACCACAAATATCATCACCATAGTATAAAATGATAAACCATGTATCTCAAAATATCATAATATCTGTCAACATATCAAAATCTCATATCAAATATCAGAGTAAATCTCTCAGGCTAGAAAACTGTGGTGTGTGCCATGCGATCATCCCGAGCTCTTCCCTTTGCTAGTTGAAGTACCTGAAACCAAACTGAAAACTGTAAGCACGAAGCTTAGTGAGCTCCCCCAAACTACCACATACCATACACATAACATATAACATGTAACATAAACTTTGGGACACCGCCCAGCTGCATCGAGTCGAACCCGACATTGACTTACCCGGCATCGGACTCCTGCCCGACATCGGGGTCACCCCGGCATCAGACCACGTCTGGCATCAGGCTTGCCCCGACATCAGGCTTACACCGGCACATACACAACATATCATATATCATAAACACATAACATAAGCATATAACATACATCGGGCTTACCCCGGCATCGGACCGAAGCCCGGAACACATAACAGATAACATATAACTAACATGCATCCGGCTTGCCCCGACATCGGGCTTAGCCCGGAACACATAACACATAACAGATACACTAACATACATCGGGCTTGCCCCGGAACACATAACTAGGCCTTGCAATGGAGCGGGTTTGGAGCGGATCGGCCTTGATCCAAACCCGTTAAGAAATTTTCAAATGATGATCCAAACCTGACCCGTAACCCACATGGTTTTTAATGATTAAACCCATACCCTTATCCACCGGATCAACGGATTTCAACCTTTTTACCCGACCCATTTACAATAATAAGTTTAGGCTATAATTATTCATTAAAACACATATACCATGATCACTAAAACCAAACAACATTCACTCCAAAACAAACATCAATTATAGCTATATAAATAACTTTTCCAATGTATTATGATTGTGGAATGTCGATCACTCGATTACACTTCTTCTTGAATCTTGACTGAAACCCTTTTCTTTTTGCTCTTGAGTCTTGATTGTGGAATATCGATTTCATAGTCGATTTCAAAGATTATAGAGTCGATTATATTAGGAGTCGACTGCAATCGGCAATTTGGATTAGGAACTGAATTGGGAAATTGAAGCAGAACGTCTAACAGTCTAACTCCTTGACTCCTATATGTGAAGATTGATAAATATATTATTACTTATAAATAATTAATTTATATTTCAAAATTTTAGATGGGGCGGGTCATAAACGGATCGGATCGATAGTGATCCATACCCGACCCTTTTAATAAAAGGGTTAACGGGTATGGGTCATTAACGGGTAAACGAATCATAAAATATGATCCAAACCCATTAATTTTGCATGGGTTTAGAGCGGATAAGGGTCAAAACCCGCTCCATTGTCAGGTCTACACATAACACATAACATGCATGAATCACAAAGACACCAAGCATAAATATACTCTTCTGGGGATCGCCCCGGCATCGGACCGTAGTCCGGAACTACTAACAAATAAACGGGTCGGCATTATTGTAACACCCGGAGATCCGAGCTAGTCAATTTAGAGACGATAAGCGTCAAAAATGACTTTTTAATAGAATATTATTTAGAATGAATAATCTTAACCAAAGTCATAGTATATGTTACAAGGATTCCGTACATATAAAGAAAGCCGAAATCCGAGTTATAACGAAGAAGTTATGGTTCGTCGAAGTTTCACGGCAAAACCGACACGGCACCGGGAATCGTAAATAGTGAATTTTTGAAAACGGAGCTCGTATGCGAAAGTTATGAATTTTTTGAAAATCTGATGATTTCCACCCTGTGTGCGATGCCACGTGTCAGCACCAGGCTGTGCCTGGCTGTCTCCAGCGGGTCACGACGTGAATTTATGTTTCACGACGTGAAATGGCCTCCAGCCCCCTATAAATAGAGGTGTCGGGTGAAACCAATTCCTCACACCATCCCATTATACTTTCTCTCTCTAAAACTTCTCTCTAGCTCCCCTTAAGCCCCCTAAAGTATAGGTAAACCCCCTAGCACCCGAACGAAGCCCCGAGGCTCCCGAACCCCCGAGAAAAGAGCCTTTCGGCTCAGAAACTCTGCTCCGGCGGAGCCCGGTTTTCGATAAAACCCGCTGTAAGTGAGCTACGCCTACGCTATTTTTAATATAGCTTCTAATTAATTATAGTAACATTATTAGGACCTTAAAATAATTATTTGGGCTATTATTATGAGTTATATAAGAGTGTTGCTTAACGCTTATATAATAGTAATAATAGCTAGACTATTAATTAGTCGCGATTAACGTTAGACTAAATCCTAGTGGTATTGATACTAGGTTTTGTCAAGAGAAAATTGTTTTGAGATAACGAAGTGTTGTCCATGTACCGAGTCACCACCTTATCAAGTGAGTGCATAGTTACTTTCATCTTACACATAGATATGAAGTATTTTATATAAACTACGTGCTATGTGTGCATATTATCTGTATACTTGCTATCTATGCTGGATGAATGATTTTATACAAGTTTTAAATGATTTAAACTGTATATGTATTTTATATCTACAAAATATGTTGGGTAAAACATGGGTAGATGAAATATGAGTTGGATGATGAAATGAGAGGTGATATAGACCGTGAGATAAGGGTAAGAGGTAAA